CGGCCGGGCCGCCAGCGGGGCAGGCCCGGAGCGGGGCCGCCGGGGCCTGGCCGGGCCGGGCCGAGCCGGGGTTGGGGCTTCCCGCGGGCTGCGCTGCTCCACAGCCGCGGCCCAGCACGGGGAGCGCGGGTCGGCAGCGCCTGGGGGTCCCCACGGCCAGGGCAGGGCGAGACCTGCAGCAGCTTCGGCCCGGCGCTGCCCGGGCCGGCGGTGCTTACCCTGCATGCTGCTGCTGCTGCTGCTGCTGCTGGCGGCGCCCGGGCCGGGCCCGCTCCCGCTCCCCCCGGAGCCGCCGCTGGGGCTGGGAGTCGCCATTGTGCGCGGAGCGGGAGCAGCGGCGGCGGCGCTGCGCAGGGCCCTCCCCGGCAGGGCAGGACACACGGCCCCGCCGCCTGTCCGCCCCCGGCTGGGGCCGCGAAACCCCTCCCCGCCGGGGCCCCGCGCCTGCGGCACCGCAACGGCGTGGCGGGGGCGGTGCTGCCTCCCGCAAGGGGACGGGACATCCGTGGGCTGCGCTCCTGCGGCTCCGCTCCTGCTGCCTCAGGGGACCCTGAACCGCTCCGGGCCCCGGCAGCCCCACAGCCGCGGGTGCCCGAACATCTGCTGTCCTTTCTCACATCCCTGTGGCCGGGGAGGCCCCTCCGGGGCCGGCAGTCGGCCCGAGCAGCTTTATTCATTTCTCATCTTCACCCTAGCGTTAGGACTTCTCCCACACAGGCAGCCCCTTGCAAACTTCTCCTGACTCTCCCGACACCACAGGGTATAACTCCCTGCCGTGATTTCCCGGGCACCCAGGGCATCAACCCTTTCCTGTCACCGTCAGCCTCCCCCTCACTTTTTTTCTCTTGGTCACTGCTGTTGACCCTCTTAACTCCAGCAAACCTACACTCGTAGTCGTAGGGGCAGCACATACTGTGAAGTAGAGCAGTGAAGGGATTGCCCCATAGCCATGGGCTCCCTCCAGCCTGCTGCCATGATGTGGGTGAGTCCCTTCAGCTATAGGAGGCCTTGTGTCCTTATCTTTGTATTAGTGATAATACTCACTCCCTTTACGAGTGGAGATGGGCTAAGGAAAGAGCTGGACATCCACGTGTTAGCAGTAGGAGGACTCTTTCCCTGTTCCTCCATTGCCCAGGCSACCATGAAGGCAACAAAACAGGAAACACTTCAAGCCCCGAACACAAACTGCTAATCCCTCCAGAAACTGCAAACCATCACCCTTTATGCGAGTGCAGTGGGGGAGGAGATTGGGGCAGAAGCTGCTCCCCATCAGGCCTTCATTTTTTCTTTTCTCTCCCAGTTCAGCTCATATTGATTTCTCTTCCCTCATGTTAAGAACCAAGAATTTTCTTTTGTCATATGTTTTGAACTAAGGAAAGCATCTTGTTCCATCCTAAAGTCTTCTGGTTTYCCAGCTCAGTTTTGTGGGGGATCAGGGAGACAGACCGGAATAGTCCCTGGGGCACAGAGGGAGCCCAGCCTTCTGCCCAAACGCTGTTCTGCAGGGAATAACTCACACTCTGCTGAGCTCACTTTAGCCAGGAGGTGGGAGAAGAGGTCAGAACTAGTCCTGACCATCTCCTTGTTTCTGCTCCCAAATCCTGATAGTCCAGCAAATTCATCTCCCTCCCTGTCAAAGATGCTGTTTTCCTTCGCCTTGGGGGACACCATAAACCCTTTCACACATGCCAAGATACCAGTAGCTTCTTCGCTGGCTTTGAACTTACACTGCTGCCCTAYACTGGCCCACCTTAGCCTCTGCTGTCTGACATTGCTGACTGTTCCAAAGCTGCTTCCACTCTGGCACCTTCACCACTTCGGTGAAGAGAGGAATGAGAGTCACTTGTATTCAGAGCTTCAACAAGGAACAGCTCTTCCTGAGTGTGGCTTATGTGAGCACCACGGATGGCATCATCAGTGCTAGCACCTGGAAGAGCCTGTAACAGAGACCACAGACACACGGCATGCAGCACACGTCCAGGTGAAGGTGTGCCCTTATCCTCTCCTCTCATATTCCCATGTGGGACAGCCTAGCACAAGCGGGATCCCAATGCTACATCTTCACCTACACAACACTGGGGAGCACCAGGGATGGCTGCTCTGTGAGAGAGGTGGAGCATAACATGGTGAATAGGCAATGGCCTCCACAGCCAGAGGCCAAGCCTGAGCCAGGTGAGCAGCACAGTCCCATGGCAGTGACCAGGCTTGGTCTGGACTCTGCAATAGGCAGGGCTGACGTTAGGTCAAGTCCCCAGGTCAGTGTTTGGCTCACAGCCCCAGGACAGGGCTATATACAGCAGCAACACAACTATAATGTAGCTTAAGTGGGAACCAAAGTAAGAGCTTTGGTTAGAAAAAGCTCCCAGGTGAATAAGTGAAGAGTGGTTTATATATATATCTATATATATAACACTAACACGCACACGCACATGCGCATGCACACACTAACACTCATACCCCAGGCTTCTTCCATTTTTTTTCAAAGTGCATCAAAGCCACCTCATGGTGATTAAACCACTTGCTCTTGCCAGTAAACTGGTCTTAAATACTGAGAGTTAAACTTCGGTGGGGAAGGCTGGGGGAGAGGGTGCAGTTTGAGTTCTAACACAAAGAACATTCCCCTCCTTAATTCCATGTCTTTCCTTTCTCTTCCCTGTTTTGCTTAAGCTTTCTCTTCTGCATTAACCCCTGAGTGCAGGTCCAAGGTTGACACATTGCAGGCTGTGATGCAGAAACCCAGTGCCTACTGGCAAACACTGACACACAGCTGACAACTGGCTTCCACTTCTGCTTTGTGCCACCTGCATGTGGTTTGCTTCCAATTAGGTAATGTCATACTTCCCCCCTCACTGCAAATCTGGGAGGATCAACTATACCTGTTCTGACATGTTTGTGAAACCTTTCCTTAAAGACCTCCAGTGATGGAGATTGTACCATTCTCTAGCAATCTGTTCTGGCACACATCCTGACATTCTCCAAAAGCCTAACTTCAGGGTGTTTTTCTAATCTGAAATCYTTTCTATTCTGCCCTGTTGCCTATGGCTATGGCCTTCTTCAAAATGACCCCTTGAGCACTTGATGATGTACAATGTTCAATGCTTCCCTTCCCATCCTTGCCTCAGTTTTCTCTTCTACATATTACATCAATTCATTTCCTTCAGCCTTTCTTTATGTTTTCTCTGCCTCCCAGCAACCTCACTGTCCTCCTTTGATGTCTTTTCTGCCCATCTGCATTTTTTGAAATACAGCATCCCTAGCTAGGCATACTACCCCAGCATGCCTTGGAGGCTACAGCTCAAATGCTCCAGGATGGCATTTACCTTTCCCATTGCTGGTATTCAGTTTGCTCTCTATCACACCATGGACTTTTTTTTCTGGGGTCGTGCGGGGAGGGAGTTTGGGGGTTTTTTTGTGTGTTTTTTGTTGTTGTTGTGTTTGTTTACTTTGGGGCTTTTGTTTGTTGGGTTGGGGTAGTTTTTTTGGAAAAAAACCTGAACCTGTGTTTCTCACTGCTCACAAAAGTAAAAAGTAATGCTGGAAGGTGTACCTGTCAAATATTGCCCTGTAGATTGCAGGCCATTTCTCCATTTAGTGCTGAATCCTGTTGTCTTTGCTGTCCTCAACAGCCTGGAGTAATTAGCAGGTTTAATAAGGCAGTCATGGGTGTTAATCATCCAGGCTGCTAACTAAAGTAATTAAAAAGATTTGGCATCAGAACGGACCCCTGCAAAAATCCCTTGAATATGTCTTTCCATTTTGACAAACACTGATAATTAGCACTTGGGGTACAATGAACTCACCAGTTTTACACTCACCATGGCCTTGTACCTTCTCAAGAAGGGGTCAGGACAGCCAGTGTTAAAAACCTTGCTAAASTCAACATACAGCACATCTGTTACTTTTCACTTTATGCCTAAAAAATTGTGTCACACCAGGACATGAGAGTGGTTTGTCACCATTTTTCCTGATGTGCCCTTCTCTCTGCAAACAGGACATCAACYACCACTTACTCTGTATCATTTACATCATGCCTGGATCTTATGCTATAYTATATACATACACATATGCTATGCTATATACATATATATTCATATAACTCTACAAAGTACAGGTATTATTTCARTAGTCACTGGCTGTCCCCACCAAAATGTCTGTTGAGTTTTAGTGGATGACTGGTGTATCTGGAGCAGTCYATACTCATTGTCCATGGTAGCTATGACATACAATGGCATTGTCATTCAACAACCAAAATTACATGTGCAATTCAACATTACAGACTCTTCTCAATGAAAAACAAGTCCCCTTGAGGTGCGCATCATGTTTCTCTGTCCCTCTGCATTATCCACCTGGTGCACCCAGGCCCTTGAGCAAAAACAATCCCAGGSATGGGTTTGCCTTTTCTTGAGGCAGGAGTGATMCAAACTGGCTTCCCTAAGACATTTCTCATACGCACCATGGGGATTTTATCCCCTTCTGTGGAGGTTTTGATTGGGCAGGGCCAGCTTAGGTGTTAAGTAACSCAGTGGCCTTCACTAAATGCAGTTCCCACAACCTATCACTTTCAATGTGGTTTTTAGCAGTCCATGGCACTGTTCAGCTTTCCCAGGCTAGAGCATGACAGGGTATATGAAACACACACTCAATCCTGYGCTCTCTGGCCCAGGTGTCCCTGAGGCTCTTTTGGAAATGAGTCCCAATGTCCAACCCAATTCTTTCAGCGCTGCCATGTCTCCCCAGGACTTGCTTTTCAAGTCCTGAAATACTGGTCCATGTCCTCCCACATTCCATGCCACCCATGACTATCCACTTGAGGGAACAGGTCTATGTGCTGGAAAACATACCAGTTTAAAAAAAATCTATAACTTTAGTCAGGGGTTTTGTTTGCCTTTACCCTGGGAAAAGGAATTTTAAGTTTCTTTACAGGCCATTGTTCCACCTGGTGAGGTCTGATGAACTTAACATTTCAACAGAATGGGAGTAGCACAGAAGATAAGGACCATCAATGGCCATCCATGGCCATTAACAGAACATTAGCTCCAAACCTTACCCTAGCTTGATCAGAGATACCTGGTCTGGGAAAGGAGAGATAAAGAGGACCTAATTAGCATCAGAGGSGAAGAAATCCAGATCCAATAGGAAACCAGATACTAAGAACTAGCAACATTGGACCAGTGAACATTGAAGCAATGGATTCCTATGGGTTTTGATTCTATAAAGTTTGGGGRAAATCTTGTAAAATTCATGTCTCRCAGAYTGGATTTCTCTGCRCACCCGGGCTATGTGTGGATGAAATGATTTCTGTGGCATATCCTGGCCAGAACATCCTAKCCAGAAATAAAGTAATGCCTTGACTCTCTAACACTAAAATGTTGTTGGAGGATTTTTGTTTCTCCCCTAGTTYGGTGACATATGGACAACCTCCCTAGAAATTTCTGTCCTGACTCTAAACATGGTGTTTAGCACTGTGGTCCATTCGAGTTTTTGCCAATATCCCTTTCAGCACCATGTCCTGTGGCCACATATTGGAGAAAACAGGAGAGAGACTGGTGGGGCAGCAGAGGGACCAAATCCACAGAGGCTGATTCCAGCAGTCCCTCAACTGGAGAGGCAAAATGGCACATTTCCAGTGGGGTGCCCAGATTTTCCCAAAACCATGGCTCCAGCAATGATTTGTGTAATACAGAGTAACAACCTGGTCACACCCCTCTCTGCAGCCAGGACACTGACCAGCTCACAAAGGCTGTTGTTCATCCCTGTCATACTCGAGATGCATAGCAGTGCCTTGTGTAAYGAGTTGTTCCAGAACTTTTCTGGGAATTGAGAACAACTTTGAATTAGGACTGAAAAAAGAAGCTGGCAAACCMTAAACAAGATCAGTTTGGGTGAGGTCTGTAAAATTAGTGAAGTAGGAAGAAGATTGTTAATATAGGATTACAATAAGGACAAGAAAGTCAATCCACTGGATGCTTCAGAAATGTCTCCTCTGAAGTTGGTCAATCAGGGAACATGGGGCTGCTCCCGTTCCCAGGAAGGTGGACACCATCCTTCYCTGCTCCTGGCAGCTGACCCACCAGTTAAGGCAACTAAACCCAGAGCCCTTTTGGTAATGTCAGCTGTGAAACCATGCATTTATCTCCAGATGTCCCAACTGGAATTGCAGTCAGGGTTCTGGGGCCGGAACACACAGAAGCCCCTGAACCCTTCACCTGCCCAACCAGAGCCTTTTAGTCACTTTTGATCCAATCTACACCAATCTATGACCGTTCATGACACAAGGATGAGGGCCATTATGGAATGGGTCAAATGGGTCACTGCAATGGGTGACTGTGACAGTGTTTTAGTAACATCTCTGGTACAGGCTCTTGGGAAACATCCTGTCTCTCAATATCACAGCTTGGCTGCAGGGCCCATCCCTGCTGCCTCTGTCCTTCACGGGTGGAGCTGCCAAAGTGAAGATAAGCTTGGAACGCCATGGGRTAAGTAGCAGATCCAGAGAGTCACAAGGAGGGCATATGTTTTGCCTAATATTGAGCAACAAGTAGCTCAAATTGTACTCAAGGATACTAAAGGTTCTTGGCCTCCCTCTCATGGGAGAAGTCAGTATTGCCTTCTGCCGACAATCTCTGTGTCCCTGGAGCAGGTGGTTACAGAAAGTGCTTGGGATAGTTGGTGAAGCWTTAAAGTGAACAGCTTTGACTTTTTCTTTGCAGTATGCACACCCAGTACTGAAAGACCTTTTTATTTCTAAKGCATGTTAGAGCCTGATTGCTTTTGAATTCCATTTAGCTCAGTTGGCCAGAGCATGATGCTAATAACATGAAGGTTGTGGGTTTAATSCCTGTATGGGCTGTTCACTAAAGAGTTTCACTCAATTATCSTTATGGRTCCCTTCCAGCTCAGAATATTCTGTGATTCTGTCTGTGAATTAGAGCAGTTGGTAAACCAATCCTTCCTTCCCACCYTACCCTCAGGAGAGACAGAGGGGTCGTCTGCCTTCTCTTGCTCTTGTGTCACTGAACTTTGCTCACTGACAAGATTGCCAAACCTTCTATGCCATGCCTCCCAAGTTCCCATCAGAAGATGCTTTCTGCCAGCCCAGCCTCCTCTTCCCCTCAGCAGTCCTKTCCCACCCCATGCAGGGTGCTGGATGTGTCTGTCCTGCTGTATCTCTGCTTCCTTCCCAGTCCCTATCASTTTCTCCCATCTGCTCTCTCCCCTCCTGATCGTGCAGCCTATGAGATGTCAAGGAACAGCCCAGCCGTGACAGAAACTAGGTGGGCTGTACAAATTTGCAAATAATTTGTGATCAGACAAATTAAAGAGCTAAAGACTTCATCACAGATAAATTTTTATTTTGAAGATCAGCTAGTATGGTTCGAAAAAATGGGCAGTSACTCATAATTTTGTTTCCCACACAAAGAAGAGCTGGTATGCCTGAAAAGCTTTTCTGCTTTTATTTTCCTATCATATAAATTACGCTAATGAAAGACATGCTGTCTCTTATTCTTCGTACTCTTTTCATCACCACTGTTACTTTTTAATCCTTGACATTCTCATTTTCTAGCCTGAAATTACTTTCCCTCTGTTAGAAAATACATTCAAGAGCCTATTCTTGACCTGGAAGCAAGGCATGAAGGTAATTCACTACTAGAGCCCTGCTTCTTTTGAGGTGAGGGGTAGAGACTGGGGAAGGGGCTACACAAGAAAGACAAATATCACCGAGTGCTCTCCAGTGAGGTCCTGTGCCCTTAAAAGGCCCAAACCGGGGGTTTTGTGGGTGGAGTTAATGAGACTCAGCCCCAGAGGGACMTCCTGAGAAATTGCAGGGACCTTTGGACTGTTGCTAATCCGTATATYAAACTGGGTTTGGGAAGAGGAGAACAGAATGTGGAGTGTCAGTCTCCAGCTTTCCTTCAAGCGCTTGTAGTCCCATCCCGGAGTGCTTGTGAATAGGGAAGTCAAACCCCTAAGGTGCCTGTAGAGCAGTTTAATTTTCCTGGGCTTCAGCATGGGAATGTGAATAAACGTAAATGTTGGGAGGGATTTAGTTACAGTGAACATAGCCTGCTGCTCTGCCTGCAGCTGCCAGACATTGTTTAATATACAGAATAACACAATTATTTTGAATATAAAGCCTGCTCTGTGGAGCTGTAATATTGGCAACCATTTACAAAGACAACTCTTACTWCTCTGTGGCTTTGTCTGCAGTAATTTTATCTTTTGTAACCTGCTCAAGGAAAGACTCAGTTAAAATTGAGAATTAATCCTCTCCACAAATGTGGACACATTCACATGTCCTCCACATAACAATTCAACAAGATCTGATTCTTGAGTGCTKAGGGAACTGTATGATGCTGATACTGAAATCGGTGGGAGACATGACCTCACAGAGGCTGAGTTTTGGTAAAAGGATACTGTAGATTTAACATTGCTAAAGGACSCACTTTCAATTTGTTTGGGCTGGAAGCAACCTTAAAATTCATCTTGTTCTACCCCCTGCCATGGACAGGGACACCTTCCACTATCCCAGGTTGCTCCAAGCCCCAATGTCCAACGTGGCCCTGAGCACTTCCAGGAATGGGGCAGCCACAGCCCCTATGGGCACCTTGTGCCAGGGCCTCACCTCCCCCGCAGTTTCACCGCGCTGACCGCCCCGTCCGAGGCTGCCCCGCCGGGACCGGGGCCGGGCTGGGCGCTGGGGCCGGGATGGACGCTGAGATGGACGCTGGGGCCGGGATCGGGATGGGCGCTGGGGCCGGGAAGGGCGCTGGGATGGGCGCTGGGGCCGCGTCCCGCCCGGCTCCCGCCCCTCTGTCCCCGCCCCCGGCCCGCCCCGGCCATGGCGGCACGGCTGTGGCGCTTCTGCAATCTCCTCATGGCCGCCTTCTTCGGGCTGGCGGCCGCTGTGCAGGTGAGGCCGGGGCTCCCGTTCCGTCCCCTCCGCTCCCCTCCTGCGGAGCGCGGCCTCGGCCGGGCCGGCGGCTGCGGGCTCTCAGTGCTCGCCTCCCGCTGCAGGTGAACGACCCTGACGCGGGGCTATGGATGGTGAGTACGAGCCGTTCTTCCCTTCCCCTGCGGCTCCTCCTGCCTCGGAGGTGCCAGCGGCCCCATCCCGCTCCGCTTGCGCCCGTCCGATCTGGGTTCGCCGGAGGAGACCTGCTCCCGGCTTCTAGCTGAAGAGCGGGCAGTCGTCGGGAAAACGAGGTGTCTACTGCAGCGACGGCTGGATCCGACCATGCTTCCAGGATCTGCCTTATTTCACCCCACATCTGCACCTGGCCCTGCAGAGCATCGCTTCCCTGTGCAGAGCACCCCGAGCTGCTCCCGCTCTTCCCCTGTCGCCATCGGCCGGTGCTTGAGTCACCAGCGGGACTCGCCTTGTGCTGAGCTGGGCCTGAGGGGAATGGGGAGCGAACCCCGCTCCTGTGTCCGGGCTGGGGGCTGAGGGCACACGAGGAGAGTCCGTGTGTGTGCCAGGAGCTGCTGGCAGGGCAGGGGCTGCATCTGTGTTCTCTGGGCTGCGTGAATCCCTCTGACAGTGGAAAAAAGACCCAGCGCGGGTGGAGGGTTTGGGGAGCCCAGGGCCGGGGAGGAGCCTGTCCTGTCACTGCTTTCCGTGGAGGATCAGGGTTCAGGGAAGGGGCTCTGCAGTGGTTGCTCAGGCAGCCAGTACTCCCCAACCCAGGAACCGAGGAGCAAGGGCTGGCTCTGGGATGATGGCCTGGCACTTTGGATGGTGATGGTGAACATGAGCAACAGCAGTGCCAGGGCATGCCGGAGTGCAAGGGCCTGGGATCTGCTCTGTGYCTCTAATAAACTGCTGTGAAGGGGAGAAGTGCTGCTGTAGATGGGCACTTCTGCTTCCTGACCTTGCTAAGTTTTGCTGCCAGGTAGATTTATGTCATTAACAGGTTGTCTACTTAGTGCCAGCTGCCCTGACACTGCTCGTCGGCATCAACCCTTCAATAACAGGTACGATACTGGTATGCAAAACAGTCTTTGCTTAAATTTTGCCACTAAAAGGTTGTTTGTTTTTTTTTTTAATATAATCTCGGATTAAAATCCTACTGCCTTCTAAGGGCAAAAAGCTGCAGGGTCTGTTTCTACAAAAGCTGGTCATTGCTTTAATACTGGTGGCTAAACGAATTGCAGGTGAGGAGAGGAGCCCTGCAGAAAGCCCAGGTGCTGGGATGCGCTTGCCTTTGCATCACAATTCTAGCTCAAAACCTGACTGGAGCAGAACCTTGCTCTGTGTTTGACCTTAGCACATTAATTCACTTTGTTTCATTGTTGTAAATCTGTGTTTTTGCTTATCTACCTCATGCAAGAGCAGCTGAGCTTTGYACAATCCTGTGGAAGTGCTAAAGGTCGTGTTCAGTGCCAGGTATTGCAGCTGCCCCACAGAGCAATGGACAGCAATAGGAACAATCAAAGTCTGGTTTCCAAGTGTGTATGCTGTGAGGGCTAATGACAGTTCAGAGAATCATTCAAATAAGATTTATTTCAGGACTTCAGAACACAGTTAAGATTTTTGTATTTTAATTCARTTCAAATAATTTTAAATAAGGCCATTGTTCTGGGTAAATAATAAACTAAAATCATGSTTAAAAAGTAAAACCTTCAGGAGTGCATGGTATTGTCACAAATTACACCACTGCAGTCCCTTGGTATTCTGGCTGCCTTAAGCATATAAAGTGGCAGCATTTATAAGTGCAGAACCCATGAACCTTGGTGGCTTGTGGTTTTGAACATTTCACGGGAGGTTTACATGTGTGATAGGTRGCATAATGGCATTTGGGTGGTCAAGAGAATCTACATATCAAGCTCATTATTAGGGTTTTACTTGTGCCAAGATCTGTGGAAAATAAAGATTACAATAGCACAACTTTTTTAAAACTGCAAGTTTATATAAATTCACCTCAAGGGGTATTTGCCACTCAGGTCTGTTGAGGACCCAGATTCTGTCTCTGCTGAGCTGCAGTAAGTTCAGTGAAACAGCGAATCTGTTACAGCTTATGTCACACTGAGCTCTTCAGTTGTGGCAGCTCATCACACTTAATGCTTGCCTGAGGGAGTCAATGCCCTGAAAAAACTGCTTTTAACTTTAAGTTTTTTGCTGTTGACGCTGCTGGGACCAGGGACAACCGCCATGTAATTTCTTACCTTCCCTTTGTTAGCCCCTAGGAATGGACATGGAAAAGCCCAAGAACCTGTGGGCGCATTCAGACATTTCACAATACCTGTATTTCTGTATTTAAAAACATCAGTYCCCAGGCAGAGATGTCATCAGCATGGCTCATCATCATAGGCAAAACCTSATGTGAAGTCTCTTCAGGCACATGCTCAGTGATGCTGCCTGGGGGCTGGGACTTCCCTGGGATGCACTTGCCTCGGGAGTTGTGCTGGGCATGTCTAAGATGTCTGTGTTGCTTAGGGTTTACTTCATGCCTCATGATAGTTGCTGCGTGTTTTTTTTTCCCTCAGATAACGGTGTTTGGAGGAGCCTCTGTGACCTTCATTCTGTTGGCTGTGTTGTTGGGACCATTGCCTTGGCTTGCTCTTTGTTTGCTTTTGCAAAAGGAAACATTTTTCATGAAGAGGAAGGCAGGTAAGCAGTGGTTTTKACTTGCCCCTGCTGGAATTCAGTTCACCAGGCCATCTCCTCCTGGTATCCCCTTGTGAAACTTTTTTTCAGAAGGCATAGTTTCCTGTTGCAGTGGATGCTGTTGGTCCAGAGGAATCAGACCAAAGAGGAGAGACCATAATGCTCCAAACATTGGACACAGGGAGAGTGAATAGTCATTGCTTCCCTGATTGTGGCAGCTAGATTTACTTGTCTGGCTTTCAGAGATCATGGCACAAGCACAGTGAAACAGCTTTGTGCCCTTTTCCTGGAGCTGTAGAATGGGAATTACTGTTTTTAAARCTCTTGAGGTGATACCAAACACATATTTAATCTGCCATGGACTGCTGAGTCCTCCAAACTGCCAGGGATTGAGGATGAGGGAGAATTTCTCATCTGGACATTCAGGAGTTGCATAGAAGTAGGTGCTGGCAAAATAGTGAGGTGAAGCCCTGGCAGCTACTTCTGTGACTGTTCACAGTCTGGAAAACTGAGATGCTGCTTTCCTCTGTGTTCATGAGAGAAATATGCCTGCTTTGTCTGCATTAATTAGAGAAATGTGCTATGGAATGTCAATCCAGCAGTAGAACAAAAAGTGGAGGCAGGAATTTCTGCAGCTGTTCAGCTGTCATGTCCGTAGATTTGTGGTGTGAAGCAAAGTTACTCCTTGTAAATACCTTTATAATTATAATCCTAGTGAAGTACAGTGAACTTCTCCGAAGGAGCAGCCGCCACTGTTTTGGAGTCAAAATTTGTATTCTCTGAATGTAGACATCTGTTTGTGTTATTTTCTGAWCTGTTTTTTGTTTGGCTTTTTAGAGAGTTGTTTGGTCTGGTGATTATTAYTGTATGGATGAGTCTTTGTCGCAGTTCAGCAAAGTAAGTTTTATTTTCTTGTCTTTTATAATCCATTCCAATGTTCACATTTAGTGACTAGCTCCTTGAAGACACATAGTTGATTTTGGCAGCTTGTTTTTCTGTCACCTTCTGAACCTTCCAGATGTCCAAGCAGTAGCAACTGGTGCTACAGCCTGGAGGATCTCGCACAGATCAAAGTCAGGGCAGGGGAGAATGTAAGGCTACATGATGCATTTTTTTCTGGCCCCCTGCCATTATGGGGATATTTTCCCCATTTTCCCTTTGCACAAGGTACTTTTTTTTTTTTTTTTTTTTTTTTTTTTTTTTTTTTTAATTCCAACTAGTTTCTGTAGCCTGAGTTGTCAGAAAATTCTTTGTGCCTCGCCAGTAAAGAACTTTGGCAATGTATCCACAGGAGCTACATTAAAGTGACCAAAGGCTCTCTGCTGTCTTTGCAGCTGCAGGGAGATGTCAATGTTATGTGGCCAAGAAGGCCAAGGGCATCCTGGCCTGTACCAGCCATGCTCTGGTCAGCAGGATAAGGGCAGCTGGTATGGCTGAGACACTTCCTGTCCTGGGGACAGGCACTTCAAGGAGATTGAGGAAAAACTCCTTCACTGAAAGAGTGGTCACGCATTGGCAAAGGCTCCCCAGGGAGGCGGTGGGGTCACCATTCCTGGAAGTKTTTAAAAAAACAGCTGGATRTGGCACTGCACTATAGGGTTTAGTGGGCATGGTGGTATGCAATCCAAGGTTGGACTTGATGATTGTGGAGTTTTTTTACAGCCTTAAAGATTCAGTGATTTGAAGTAGCTCTGTTGATTTTGTTCCGGTATAGGAGTCCTCTGGGAGGCGTTCGCTTGGTTGCTGCAGTGGTGGTTGCCCTCTTCCCCTTTGTTTCATGGTTGTACATTTATGTGCACAAAGACATGCGAGAGTCTTGGCCAACACATTGCAAAACTGTGATTTAATTGGGTGGGAGAAAAGCTACAGTAACTATGCTGACCTTACTTGCCTTTGCTTTTGGYGCTTAATGGAAGTTTAGTGTCAGTTTGATATACCAAGGATACCTGGCTGCTTCTAGCAGTGTCATGTGACATGTAGTAAAATTTTGAGGAACACTGTCAAATCTGAGTGGGGAATTTTTTTATTGACACTGCTGTTCAGCTGGCTGCTTCTTACATCTTCCAAACACTATTGATCTAATGTGTGTTCTAATGGTGTAGTCAAGATATCATGGCATCCTGGGATCACTCTCCAATAATCTGGTACTTTGAGAAATCTACTGTTACCTAAGGGACAAGTAAAGCAAACACTGTTTTTCAATAAATCGCTATTTACAGCCATAGAACTTTCAAATATGTGCCTGCATTATCCATCTCAGACTAATTGGAAAATTGAGCAGTCTGTTTCTGTCCTAAAATCATTCTGAAAAAATATTTTTGCTATTATCTTTAACTGAARATCACGAGTTTTACTGAGTAATAAACACTATTTTTCTAAAGAAAACTCAACTAAAGCCTCTGTATCTTTTATTTTCTGGGAGATGCATATTTAAGCAAGCTACCAGCAGATGTGGGCACTGTGACAACTCTGCTGGTCACCTAATTTTTGTTGGAAAGCGGGACCCACGCAGCAGCCCTGCAGCAGYAAGCATGTCCCATTACTCATCTTGGAGAAGGAAGCACAGGTGGATACACTGGATTCAGGAGCTGGCTGGGACAGAGCCAGGGCAGCTCCAGGTGCAGCACACAATAATACCCTTTAGACCCGTGTGAGGGCTCACTCAGCACTGCTGCAGGTGATTTCAGTTGTGCACACACGGCACAGCCCAAGTATCTGAGCATTCCAAGGTGCAGCAGATGGTCTCCATTTTCCTTAGGCTTAGATTTTTCTGGGGATTACTTTAGTGTTTTAAAGCACTGTTGGAAGACTGAATTAGGCTACAGGGTTGATATATTCTGCCAGACATGAGACATTACTGTGATGTTCACAGAAAATAAATAGAGATGTGGCTGGGCAGGTRCAACTCTGCATGTTTTAATGCTCACTGAGAGAACAGCAGTGGGCTTTTTTGGAACAATATTTATAATACGGTTTGCATATTTTCACAGAACAATCCAGTCTGGATTGGATGTTTCAAACCAACATTCTTCATTCAGATATATTTATTTCAGTTACTGGCCTTCTCTGTTCTCCACAAAGAAATCGGGTGTTTTCTTACAGAAACATGATTTTAAAAATTCTGTATCCAGAATAAAATGTCTGAGCTAAAGCAATAGGGGTCAGCCAAGCACACCTTTCTAAAAGCAGATAGCTGAATTCGCTTCATTTTTGTGCAAGTTCTTTCTGAAGAAGTGCAATTGTATTTGCCKTGTATTTCAAAAATGCATAACTCTGTCTGGAATTCTGCCCTTTCCCTTCAGTATCATTTTATCTTCATAGACATAGATAGTTCCAAAAGCATTGCTTTCTGGTGGCGTTTCAATCACCCCCTCCAAGGTCAGGTGATGAACTCCATGAGAATCCAGGCAGTAGGCGCCGTCGTGCAGGTGCCCTGTAAGGACACAGATCACACACCGGTGAGAGTGGATGACTGACAGGGCTGCCTCGTAATTCCAGGCCAGGCAAACCTCGTCCGAAGCATAAGGATGAATGGGCACGTGACCTGCAGTCCAGAGGGAGAGAAATACAACAGTTAAACTGTAATAAATCTGCCTCATTGCTGGGAAGCTCAGCCATCCAACTGACTACAGAAAGCTCACCCCAGTGTGAGGCATGGTCGCTGTTCTGCTCTTTCCATCTGTACCTCRCCAGAGCCACAGAGCTGCTACATGTTTTCTGCAGCTAACCTATACAGGCTAGCTAACTTTTCTTTTTCATGCATTTCCATGGGACTTTATTCCCCATATCAAATATAGAGGTTGGAACTAGATTAGCTTCAAAGGACCCTTCCAGCACAAACCATTCTGATTCTCTATTTTCCCCATATCCACCTACCCATAACTACAACTTTTTCTTGGTTTTCATCAGAGAACTTGAGGACTTCATCAAACCAGTCCAGCTGGGCTTGGCTAAATCCTCCATTGAACGCTACAAAGTGAGGTTCCATCAGCCCTGCAGAAGAATGAAGAAGGTTAGGCACAAGTGCATACACCTCCCATAGTTCCTCTTTCTGCCTTATGTAAAATCTGATGG